TTTATTTTATTTATTCTTTCTTCTCTCTCTATATATATATATATATATATATATATTTGAAGAAATTGGGATCAAGTGGAATATATTACTTTGTTTCGAAAATATCTGAAAGAATCGATTGTTTTAAGGGTTAATGCTAATTAATGCGAACTAAAAAAAATCTGTTTTTATCTCGTGTATGGCTTAACGCTCACTTTTCTCCTGTCTCTGTAATCTCTAACAGTTTTCAGACTACGAAACATGGCATTGTAGACCCCATGTTGTCCATATGGGGTCATCAACTCTTTGTTAATGGCGATACCGATCAGTAAGTGATCTATAAAATACACTTTTCACAATATTGTATTTTATACAATATGCAATGCCTTGCGCGTATTATTATTATTATCACCACCACCTGTATACGTTATTTTTCCATTTCCTTCGCTCTATTTATCATTATAATAATCGATCAATCAATCAATTTCGATAAAAAAGCTTTATCTCTCCACCTCGATGCGTTGCCCAATGTGCCCCAACAACCTACGCTCGTATCACGAAACGATAGGATATAATAACACACAACGTAATCCCATACATCTTTTTTACAGAATTGCGAAAACGCTTTGCTTCAGCAACAGAGGCCACGGTTTGTACCTCTCGTCGCCTACCGAGATCCAAAAGTTTTCCGTTTCCAGCCAGTTTTGGTAAGAAGGAATTTCAGTAAAAGAACTTCTTCCCTCTCCTGTCCCCTTCTTCCTCATCTTTTTTCATCTTTCATCGTTTCAGCGGCGAATTAACCGAGATGATGGGAGACTTGTTCATCGGCCACGACATGCCCGAGCCGCCCAAAGAGAGCTTCTTCAAAGGTCTGTTCGGCGGTGGGTCGCGAAGCCTCGACAGGGAAGAATTATGTGAGTTTATTATCTTCAATCTTCTTAACTTTCGAATAATATTTTTCTCTTTAAAATTTTTCCATTTCATTAATTATCTTCATTTATCAATTTATTCGTATGAAATGATAGAGTGAAATCAAATTTTTTTTTTTAATATGCTCTTAACGATCTATTTATCGACTAGGAATTTTTGCAATCCCATTAATATATACTTGTTTATTACTCTTCTATTTTTCATTCTTATTATTATTATTATTATTTATTCAATTAATAATTTTAATAAATTTGATAATTTAAATTTTAATATGTAACGACAACAATTTCAGTCGGCGAATCGAGCGGTCGAGCTTCCCGCACGGTGGCGAAGCACATACCGGGGCCGAACGCGGGGGCCGAGAGCCTTCGCGAGCGCGTGACAACAGCGACGGGCGAGGTGAATTTGGCCCATCAAATGGTGCTGGAACGGGGCGAGAAGTTGTCCCAGTTGGAGGAGAGGACGGCGCGGATGATGTCCGAGGCCGAGAGCTTCTCCCAGTCGGCCCACGGATTGATGCTCAAATACAAGGACAAGAAATGGTACCAGCTATGAGGACATCGATCGACCATGTTCCACTTTCCAATTGCGTTTATACACGATTATAATTGTTGTAATCTATCTAGCGTTTCACCCGCGACCAGTTCTGTCGTACTAAGTCGTTATGTCGTTTAGAGGGGATGGGGGAGACTCGAAAAAAATTGGGTAAATTTACGCGAACTTTACACGCACACGCAGGAAACACGTTACGTGATAAAAAGGGGATTGAGCCGAGTTGTAGCGAAGCTCGTGTGAACGAATGAACGAATGCGTGCGTGCGTGCTTCAAAGAGAGAGTGAAAACGCGAGCAAAGGAACATATAGGAAGAGATACTTTTACAAGCAGGTATATACACACGCACATCTTTCAACAAAGAATATATATTAAAAAGGAAAAAAAATAAAAAAGAATCGTATATACACGTATAACACAGATAAGATTAAATATATATATATATATAAAAATGTGTAATAACCTCAAAATATATATATATATATATATATTACTTTTAGTATATAAGGCGAAGAGACGAACGATATGCACGTTAACGTGTGAACCAAACACGGATAAAATTGAAGAGAAGCGGGGGTGATTGCTATATATTCGAGATAAAACAAATTAATTAGCGCATATATAGGTTAAATAAGATACTATCTTAGGCAGACATAGGATTCTAACTATGCGCGAGTCAATACACACACAATTATGTAACAATTCGCCAATTTTAACCGATCGCTATATTCGTTGATCCATTCGGACGTGGTGCAACGACGCGACGCATCCGTCATCTTGTGCATCACCGTTTCCCATCGGGTGAAAGGAGACGAATGAAAAACACGATTAATTTATCGATGATAAAGATAAAAGGAAAAAAGATTGAATCGAAATTGCAAAAATTTAGTTGAAAGTTGGCAGCGTTGTACGTTGTTCCGAATGTATTGACAATAAAAAGATATAATTAATAAATTAATTAATCGAGATAATAGCGCATTGAGTAAAGGTTGAATGCAGTGTAATATATGATTTACCTACGATGTATCGGATCTTGGGGATTATGTAGTAGTATTATCGATCGAGATAAATCTGTCGCATCGTTGATAAACTATATATTAGTTGTTATTATAATCGTAGTTATCGCTAGATACGCTATGTACATAAAGGAAACAAATGCAGTAGAAAAATATTATTAACGTTAAAACAAAGAGCTGTTTGTATAATAACGTGTTGTGAGTTACGCTGGTTCAGCGTCGATGATGAATTCAACTGAATTTATGGTACGAGGAGAGGGAAGAGAAGAGCTACTTGTAATTTTTAAAAAAGAATTATACGTAGATTAGATTATTTAAAGACAATATATATATAATACAGTATACATATACGTACGTATGCGCGGTATATATAGTATGTGTATCGTGTAAGTTCATTTGAATTTGTCGAGATTCTGAATCGTCGTACTACTGCTTCCATAGCAATAATTGTATAGTTGATGTTACTAATAATGGTACTAATCACCCGCATAAAAACTTATTATTATTATTATTATAACATTGTCCTGCAGAGAATTAATTAGATCGCAATTTCTTCGAGTTGGGTCGAACAAACCACTTGATATAATTCCCCTCGGACAATATACGTAAGTAGAGGTTAGTTGGTAAACAACCGCAAATACCTTTTGTCACGAGACATGTATTTACACGATCGAGTATCAATATTATATACCACGTTGTGGTCCACGAGAAACAGACAAGAAACAGGGTGGACTTGCTCGAATATCGTTGTAATATTCATATGAAAAGTTTCTCGAATTTTGGGATTGTGATATACGTTACACGCACGCGCGCGCACGCGCACGCACACACACATACAGACAGACAGACACAAGTATAACAAACACAAGAGAACCGAGAATATTAATTCTACTTTGATTCGTTTAACTTCATTGAACCAGTACCGATATCTTTTCTCGCGACAGCTTTGACACCGTCTTGATAGTCTCGATAGTCTTCGAAATCCAGCAGCTCGATACGCCACAGATTTTCTGAGATACAAAGAAGAAAGTCCCCCCCCCAAAAAAAACAAAAAAAAAAATAAAAAAATAAAAAACAAAAAAATTAAAAAAAAGTAACCGCTATCGTGTGATTATAAATATATATAACGTAAACGGGAAACTACTACTACTATTACTACTACTACAACTATTACTACTACTACTACTACTACTATTACTACTATTACTACACTATTATTACTACTACTACTACTATTACTACTAACTACACTACTATTACTACACTACTACTACTACTACTATTACTACTACTATACTACTACTATACCGATATCCTATGAAGAAGAAGAAGAAGAAAAGAAACCAATAGTGTATTACGCGGATAAAAATATCCTTCTCGGATCTTTTGTGAAAGTGAGAAAAAGTTGTTTACCGCTCTAAAAATAGAAATAGTAGTTAAATGTATAATAGTTGCAGAAACAAGAAACAAGAAATACATTATTACTTAAGTGTTTGATAATATAACATATTCTAACACTTGTTGTATAAAGACTATCGTTTAGGTGATTCTGAATTATTTATCATATCAAACAGGTTGACATATGTTTGAAAATAATTTATTGTTGTAATAAATGAAATAATTTAAAAACTACTAGATACGATACGAACGATAAACTATATATATACATACATATATATATATATATATATAAAGATAATTATTGATTGGAGATTAATGCATTATCCAAATTTTAACTCCTATATTCGTTTTCGCTTCTCTGTGTCGAGGGAACGCAGGACAGGAAACCATAAAAACCAGAGATTTATCGTATGCTCGATCGAAGAAATTACTTTTCATACACGCACGCACGTGCAGATTTATCTGGTTCTGTAAAGTTAGTTCGTCTCTTTGATCGTCGTCCGATTTAATTAGAAAATTCTTTTCGCGAAGTAACGCACGATTCTTCTCTTTTAGCTCGATAAAAAAGAAAAACGGATAACGTTGTTTTTGCGAATTTATTTTCCATCTATTATTATTATTATTATTATTATTTTCAACAAATCGATCCATCGTTACAATTATAACCGAGAATTTTCATTTTCGCACGAACGTACGGCCAAATATTTTCAAACGTATAATTCTGTGTGTATACGTTCTTCTCTCGTCGAACGACCGTGCGTTCGAACGATCGTACGTTAGACCTACCTCTCTTCTCTTCTCCCCCCCCCCTCTCTCCTGCCCACCTCCCCTCTTCCCCCACTCGCTCCGTATCCTTCCTACTTCGTATCGAATGTTCATCACGTCTATTCTGTCTAAAATATATCCTATTTCGACGCTGTGGCCTGAATCTGTAAATCTAATATTGTACATGAAATTTTGTCCTTAGATGCAGCGAAATATCTAATACTCTCGATTTATACTATTACTAATCTAGTACAATTCTTATTTTTCAAGAAATATAATATACCATGTTATTGTAAAAGTACTGCCTCGAGGACAGACTGTATCTTGGCTCCGATTAATAAATGAGTTTGAACCAAATCAAGTTTGTTGTTGTTTTTTTTTTTCTTTTTACTCTTTCCAAACAATTCTCTATCTAGAAATCTACAGTTATTGTTCAAAGTCACGAAAGTAAATAAGTGATAGACTTTCGAAAATATTTTCGAAAATAACGTTATGAAATCGCGTTATCGTTATCGCGATACAATCTTTCATTTTTTTTTATTGATATTATCATTAGTATTTAACGCGAGAAGAAAAAAAAAAAAAAAAGAAATCGGCGATCGATAAATTTTTCTTTTTCTACAATCTACAATTACGTGATATATAATAAAATGAGAGAGAGAGAGAGAGAGAGAAGAAAACACGTATGCATTTTTTGATTGGAAAAGTATTTACATAGATGATCGAAGCCGCGATTAATAATGCGGGAAATTAGGCCGATTATACTCGAAGTTTAAATCGGGGAACGATTACTGTTATTGACACCCACGGCCAGGTAATTAAATTAATTTTTGCGACGCTTCCGCAGTGAGGATAGGCATCGGCCTGGAATAATACAGACGCCGGCGTTTTTTTTCTTTTTATTCCACGGCGGCAAAGGTAGGCTCTCAACCACACCCGCCGCGCACACTTCTCATTTCCAATTTAAAAATAATGAGAATTTACCGCGAATAGGCGCCGGCTGTCGCGTACAGATACTCATCGAGTTCTGAGCTCGCTTGTGGGAAGTGGAATGAATTGAAAAAAATTCAATTTAGCCTCACTGTGCCGCGTTCTTTTTCCCTTCCACTCTCTCCTTTTCCTCACCTCCCTTCTCATTTCCTCTCCTTCTTTAAGAAAAATTATAAAAAAAAGGAATATCTCAAAAACGTCGAATTTCGCTGAAAAGTAAATCTCGTTCGATAATATATAAATAAATACTTTTATCCTGTACCGTATTGTCTTTTATATAATCCGATATTACGATATATAAATAAGAGAGAGAGAGAGGAACATTCGTTAACCGATTCGTAATTGATCGGTGTCGTCGTCACGGGAAGCTGTGAAAGAGCAATATCCCCCTCCCCCTCCGAGGGAGGGTAGAGGTATTCGAGGCCTGTTGGAACAAGAAGAATCTTCGGAATCGCGATCCTCCCCTCCCCAATGACAATCGAAACACGGTAGGTGGCGAACCGTGGGCCGGGCGGGGAAGAAGAAACATGCGAAGAAAGGCCGGGAGGAGCGATAGTCTGTCTCGAGTACGCGTGGTAATAAAATGTAAATGCGCGGCAGCAATTCGCGACCAATATCGAGAGAATCGCCTTTTCCAACCTACTTTTCCCGTTTACTCTTTGGATCGGTGGTAACACAACGGATAAGGCGGTGAGTAGCGAGCGAGAGAAACCGAAAAGGGCCCGCGGGCTTCGCTGCGTCATTTGCATGAGTAACGGTACAACCGAGAGGTTAGGGTAGCGAGACGAGTGATTTATAGTCAATAATTCTTGGGCGAAGCAATTTTCGCATCGAGCGCAACGTTTCCTCCGGAACGAGCAAGGAGAAATAGGGGAAGGGCGGGGATTCGGGACGGGAGTTGAGGAAGAGGGTGGCGGCAGGAAATGAGGCGGAATGTTAAATAGCTGCCGTGGTGCAGCAGCTCTAGAGCTTCCCTCTACCCTGTCATCTCAGGTAGCTGTTAAACTGCACGTGGCAATTATTTGCGATACGTCTATCTTTTCGACATTCCCTTCAATTTTCGCTTCCACAATTTCTTATATTTTCTTTCTTACATTTTTCTTCGTACTCGCGTTACGAGAATTTTCCTCGCGTTCCGTTTCCGATCGCGCAAATTTCATTTATTTTTGTCAAACAGCTTAATAATTACAGTAAATGTTGTGTAAAAAAAAAAAAAAAAAAAGAAAAAGAAAAAGAAAAAATCAGAACCGTACTAAAATAAAGAAAAGAATGTTTTGTTTGCACGTATCAGAATCAACGTTATATCACGTATAAATCGAAAGATAAAATTAAATGCAAAACGAAATTCGCTTCTTATTTAATATTTACATACTAGCTGGATTTCATGGGAATGTATAATGCATTACCGATATACGGTAATTAAAATATTTTCTAAAAATTTCTTTCATTATCTCGGTGAATATAATTGAAGCTAGAACTATCCATACATTATCGACGGAATACTTTTCGGCCATAAGTTGAAACGAGTTGACGAGTTTAGTGTAACTAACGCCATCTCGCGTTTGGATCGCGGAAGCTTCGACTCGTTACTAGCATAGCAGAATGTGCAAGGAGGTATTCGTGACGTCACCGAGAAGGATAGAAAAAACGTGCCACTATTTTTGGTTATGCAGCTCCTAATATCTGTCACCATTTCGATTACGCTGGATTGAAAATTAATTAATCGTTAGTTTTTTGTTAAAAATTTATACACTTTTAGATTCGTATCTTAAAGATAGAACTTCAATCAAGTTTCTCGTGTCAATTTTAACGTGAAATCCTTTCCTTTCAATTATTAACGATTAATAATTGAATTAACGGCGTTACACGTAGAATCGACGGTATCGATTTGCAATGCTTCTTTCATTAATTAATTACTATTACGAAATTTATTTATAAATGTGAATACACGAATCTGAAACGTTGTTTCCTCTTCTATTTTCACGTACAATTTTTTCCTATATTTCTATTATTATTTGAACGAATAAATTAATTGTCTACGATTCGATCTCGAAGTGAACGTTCGTGTACGAGATATTTTTTGCGATAATCGTTAATAAATAATTAATGGAAAAGAATTTGTCGTTAAAATCGATACGAGAAACTTGTTAAAAGTGTTAGCTTTAAAATGCGAGCTTAAAAGTGGCGAAATTTTAAGCAGGAAACGATTAATTAATGAATTTTCAATATGGCGTTTTCGATGTATCGATTCCTATGATGGATTAATAAATTAATAAATAATTAATAGAAAAGAATTTCTCGTTAAAATTGATACGAGAAACTTGTTAGAGGTTCTAATTTTAAGATAAGAGCTTAAAAGTGGCGAAATTTTAAGTAGAAAACGTTTAATTAATGAATTTTTCACGCGATGTCTTTAAAATGGTGGGAGACGCTCTCTGTCCTTCTCGCGCAACGTTGCTCTCTTTCTCTGTGACGTCACGAATACCTCCTTGCACATTCTGCTATGCTAGTAACGAGTCGAAGCTTCCGCGATCCAAACGCGAGATGGCGTTGATCCCCAAAAATTTTTTCTTGTTTAATTCACATATTAATTCACGAATAAAATGTATTCCATTGAAAATAACGTAACGTTTTTAACAAAGAAATGAAAAAGAAAATATATATTTTTATTATTCTAAATATCGTGTATACACATATTTTACTATATGTTTTTATTATTTTTATTATATATATATATATATATCGATTTACTTGTCGCTTACTTTAGATTTCTTTAACACGCGAGATCATAAAAAATTCTTACCTAATAACACGATTTCGAAGATCGGAAAAAAATTTTGCGCTTGCCACTTCCGTTTCAATCATGTTTTCCTTTGTACAAATCCTGATATTCCGATTGGGAAAATATAAACTTCGAAAACAAAATTCTTCTGATATTTGCCGAAGAAAAAAAATTCACCACATATATTACAATCGACATACAAGTGTACGTGTATTTCAATGCTTATAAAATTTCTAACACGCACTTATTATACGTACAATCACGAATACTCGAATTAGTCATACTCGAATTTATCATTTAGATGCGAAGTGAATCAACTACGATACGAAAAATGGAAAAACGTAAGGATAAGATGGGCGAGAAATAACGTACGTAAAGATTGGGATCTTGAGTAAGAGATACTTTTTAAAGTTAACGTGAAAATATTCACAACACGTTATGATTATCGTGTTCACACCGCGTTTATAGAGCGGGAAGAGTGAGAAAAAGAAAGGAGAAAGGGATATGAATGGAACGAAATACACCCGAGAGACGACTTTTCACACTTTTATTTAGCCAGCCAGCGGGTTCACTTACGGCGGTGAAAAGTTTAAGCCCGGTATGGGAAGGTGAAGATTACCCGGGGCAACATAAACCGATACCGACGACATAAAGGTGCACACCCGATATTAGATATCAAGGCATCCGCCTTAGCTTTCATCCACCATCGAGTGTCCCACCGAGAGCTATCAAACTGATAGAATATGTTCCACGTTACCGCGTTATCCCCCTCAGCTCTCTCTCTCTATATATATATATATATACACACCCATCTACGCGATTATCATACGTAGAACGGTTTATTTAAAGTAGCTTTTATCGCGAGCTTAGCTTACGCCCCGAATTTAGTTGGAAACATCGCACCTATTACTATTTTTCTCTTACTTTTTTTTTTTTTTACTTCTCATTTCGTCCAACGAGAATTTGGCGTGGAGAAAAGGGAATCAAAAGAAGAAGGAGGTATT